TTGGCATTGGCTGCATCTCCATGGATTGCTATTTCTCACTGGCAGCCTAACCTTTTTATCATTACTTAGTATGCCTCTCCATCTCTGTCGACCTTCTTGCTGTAAAGACTGGCATTAGCATAGCTGTACTTTTGATGTTTTAATATCAGTATTATATGATGCATCTTTTATTTCCTTTTACTTTGAAATACAAAAACCATTATACTTGAAGTTCCTTATTCGTAGTGCTTAACACACAATGTTTTTCTCTCTCTCCTCAACTCTTTTAAGTGGTATTAGAGGAAAGGGAATTTCCATTAAGAGGCAAGATAGAGTGTGGGTAGAGCAAAAATTCAGATATTTGGGACATCTACATTCTCCTATTGTGTTTGCTAAATTTGACCTTTAAAGGAAAACATCCATCACCTGATGTGATTGATATGTATACGCAGGAAATAGTTAAGGCAACTATATTTAAAATGTGAGCCTCCAAGATATTTTTCTAAAGAAAGTAATGTTTTGGTACCACTCACTTGGTAAAATATGGCACCAGCAATGTAAAAATGTTTAGTTTTTCAGTTCAAACAGTGAGCTTTTATCTCGCTCCAAAGAATACTCGTGAATAAGTCTAACCAAAGGGTTAAGAGTATATCATTTCTCATTTATTCCTGAGATAATAATTGACAGAAAGAGATTGTAGAGAGTAAATATAAAGGAAATTGAGAATGAAAGTTTATTAAATGGACCCACACCAGAAATATCAATCGACAACTTACTTTCTATTCTAACAATAAAACATAGGCATCTTCCCATAAGAACACGTATGTATCACACTTCTGTGTTATGCGTTAAAACATAAAATATATCTATTGTAATTTATTGAAACTGCACTGCACATAACATACGTAGAAGTAGATTCTGTGGCACCCATTCTAAATATGGAGGGAGAGAGACAGAGAGGGAGGCAGGGGGGGAGGGAGACAGGCAGGGAGAGAGAGAGAGGCAGGAAAAGAGGCAGAAAAAGAGAGAAGGAGGAAGGCTAAGGTTGTCTCCCTCGCTTCTTCTATTCACTGGCAAGATGAAAAGTCAAATTCAGGCCACCGGTCTTCTTCATACTACTTAGAAATGAGCATAAATGAAGCCTCAGAAGCAATGGTATTAAGTATATGGTAAATGTATTCAAAATATTCCAAATATTTTGAAAAGATCATTTTCCTGTGACATCCATCAAATGAGGAAATATATCCCTCACACATAAAACAAATTAATTCCTATTGAATCAACCAGGGAAAATGTACAGTCTGCCTGAAATAGGGAAGAGGGCCTGTCCTCAGTTCTTGAAATTTATAACACTATACCATTTAAGTTGAATAGAAAGTGATAAAGTGAATTCAGTAGGGTGAATTCCATCACTCTATCAAGATGCTAGTTTAAACTTTTACTTGATCTAATCTACCTTCCTCTGATGAATCTCCATGAAAATGTACAATTTCAAATATTTTCCAACAATATGAACTGAACAAATAATTTGAACAAATTTACCCCTTCTCTGCCCTCACTAACATTTAATTGAACAACTGTCTGCAGAGATGGCTTGGCAGTTAAGAGCACTGGCTGTTCTTGCAAAGGACCTATGTTCCATTCCCAGGACCCACATGGTGGCTAAGAACTGTCTATAACTTCAGTTCCAGGGCATCCAATGCCCTCTTCTGGCCTCCATGGGCATTGTATACACTTACATACATACATGCAAGCAAAACATTCGTAGACATAAAATAAAAGTAACAAATAAGGGGCTGGAGAGATGGTTCAGAGGTTAAGAGCACTGATTGCTCTTTCAGAGGACCTGGGTTCGATTCCCAGAACCCACATGGAGGCTATGAACCATCCTTAACTCCAGTTCCAGGGGAATCCAATGCCCTCTTCTGACCTCTGTGGCATTGCACGACATGGTTGCATTCACATACATGCAAGCAATACACTCATACAGATAAAATAGAAATAAATTTTATTTTTAAAATCTTTCTTTAAAAATAACAAAATACTGTTTTAAAGTTTAACTGAACACAATAGTGTCTTGTTCCATTACTGGAATTACCTCCACAGTGCTTATTCTCAAGGAATCAGAGAAGCCAGTGTCAACTGCCTTATCTTTCTTTTCATGCCTTATCATTTAGTGATGGGACATTCCCTTGACTAAACATGCACTCATTGTTCCTGTCCATCTTATCTGTGGAGGTGTAGCTCTGCTTAGCAGAATAGACATAAGAGTGAAGGGACACCTTTTCGATATTTAAAGTGTGATTTGCTCATTCGTAGGCAATGGTTTACTTAATGACATAATATATCTCACATACAAAAGGTCTATTAAATTATATGAAAAATCAGCTCACTATGTTGAGGATGCTGCAGAATGGGAACAATAGCTGGTGTTTAACACCAAAGCACAGCCTTCAATAATTACATTTCCACTTATTCTCTATTCTCTTATTCTGTGTATATGTGTGTGTGCAATGTTTAGCTGAGTTGTGTGAATGTCAAAGATGAAACTTTTTCCTTTTCCCTTGTAGTTTCTGCTTTCTCCAAATGTCCTTTGTCCCTCTCTTCAGGCTTCAAGCATCAGGTGACACATGCTGAGATATTCACACTGTAAGCCAAGGAATCACTGTTGTCTATGATAAGCTGATAGCATATAAGTTATGGCCAAAAGTTATAACCAGTGAATTGCTTTTCAGAAGGTTCTGAACCAATTTGATACTTTCAGTTCTCTCACAGTAGGACCATTAGGATCAATTTCAGAGCTCTTTGAAGATTCTACAAGGCAACCCTAGTCAATTGCAAGTGTTGCATATTACTGGTTTAGGATTAGGTCTTCTTGACTGTAATAAATCAATAGTTAATCATGACTCCATCTTCAGTCAACTTCATGTATTTATGCCTTTTAATTTAAGAAAACTTTACTACATTTTTTTGCTGATAATAACAGTCCTTTAAAATAAGACAGTTGAAAAAAGGAGAATCCATAAAAGTCAGTGACATAAAAGAATAGGATTCTCAGTCACATAAAATACAGTGGAAGAAATGTGTTGTGCTCAAGGAACAGCTTTGAATTCGATGTGCTCCCTAAAGTTCACCTGTTGGAAACATCTCACATGGCAGCAGTATTGGGTAATAAGGCCTAAGAAGAGGCGATTAGATCATGAAGAATCTATGTCTATGTCTGTATTAATGGCTTTGTTACAAGACAGATAAAGTAGATTTATCATGAAAGAGGTTTGGTCTTCTCTTGCTCTTGCTCTCTCTTACCCATCTATCTTCTGTAATGGAATGATGCAATATGAAGACTTTTACCTGATATAGCCCCTCCATCTCAAACTTCAGAACAAATACATTTCTTTTGTTCTATATTAATTACCAAATCTATAGTGTTCTGTTATAGTAACATAAAACACACTGAGACAGGAACCCTACTCTACCCACTCATTCCAGAAATAACCTAAAGTAAACTTTAATAAGCAATAAAAGTAAGACACCCGAATTCATAAGTACAAATGCGGGATCCTGAGTAGAATTTCAATGCCATATGAAAGAGTAAATAATTTATTACTTTTAATCTTCTCTTTAAAATTGAGATGAAAATTATAATATGTGTAAACTAAATTTTTAACTTATTGTCTTGTATGGTATTCAGTCACCCTAACACATGGCTTGCAAAATGTCTTTAAATGTTGATGTCTATGTAACAGATGAGGAATGAAAGGAGTGGAGATTTATGTAATTCCACTTTGCATAGAAATGAAGTTAAGATGGCCAATCAGGCCCAGATGTTATGTGTATTACTTTTGTTCATGCCCCATTGGACAGAACATGGGCTTTGTAGCCATATCCATATGCAAGCAAGTTTGATTGGAACTGCCCCTTTCATAAGAATTTTCCTGAGTCTAATTTAAGAAGCAGTGAACTTAATTCTTTGGCAGTAAAAATTTCAAGAAAACATAATATTGAATGTGTGCTGTGGTTATTAATAGTGACTTGTACAGATCTACAATGAACAACAGCAAGTGGAACAGAAAGAAACACAAAATATACAGTTTGGAGAGTAAAAAAGCACTGGCGAACAAAATGCTATAGCCAAGGCATGTGCTGGAAAAGAGGCTATAATTGTGAAGGACACTGGCAGCACTAAGGAGAGACCTCCTGCTCAGCACTGAAACACAGGGAAGGTGCCCTCAGGACAAGACGCCATCCAGCTAAGTTTTCATCTTGTGAAAGGAGAAACCCCAAGGGGTTTTCTGTTCCTGGACAACCAGAACATGCAAAAGGTGCTACAAATGTGACAGAAGGGAGCCAGGATCCATTCCAAGATGGCAGCCAAACTTGGCAGTGTCTAACACATAGTACTGGCTTTTGGTCTCTGTGTTTTGTCACAGCATCAGAAAAGTAACGCAGCTACCATCATGTATTTATCAAGCTATTACCACATGATTTTTACTTAATCTTAGCAATAAGTAAAAAGAAAAGCAATGTCTTGGAAAATGCAAATCAAGGATATATATGAGAAATTTGTCTTGTGTATACAAACACAATATGAAGACACCAAAAAATGCATGGACCTTGTAAATATCTCAAAAAATCACACTCTAACTCTACCAATTTCAAGAGCTCAAAGCATAATTAAGAGATTAAAACTATAAAAGGGTAAAAACTATGTAGGCTGTTAAGAAGGTCAAAATTATATTGGTATATTTTCTTACTCAAATATAGATGCCTGTATAAGAGAACAGAAAAGTATGAAATCTGTGTTTCTTAAATTTATATATTAGAAGTCTATTTTTCTATGAACTATTATTTAGTTTTAAATTAAACTATGACTAAAATACATATGCAAATTAAACCCGTTTGTGAGTCTTTGTTAGGCACATCAGAGTAAAGGAAGAAACAAAATGTAAGAACTTTTTATCTGAGGAAAAATCTTCCTTACTTTGCTCCTTTTCTTGATTGTTTACAGACTCTTGGCAACCATGACACAAGAAAATCACACTGAAGTCACAGACTTTTATCTTCTGGGATTTGGGGTCCAGCATGATATTCAGTATGTTCTCTTCATAGTGTTTCTTGTCATCTATGTGACGTCCATGGTGGTTAACACTGGGATGATCCTCCTCGTCAACACAGACTCCAGACTTCAGACCCCCATGTACTTCTTCTTACAGCATCTGGCTTTTGTTGATATCTGTTACACATCTGCTATCACACCTAAGATGCTGCAAAACTTCATAGTACAAAATAAATCAATAACTTTTGGGGGATGTTTAATACAATTATTTATTTATGCAGTATTTTCAACAAGTGACTGTTACCTCCTCGCTATTATGGCAGTGGACCGTTACATCGCTATCTGTAAGCCACTTCGCTACCCCATAATCATGTCACGACAAGTCTGCAACCAGTTGGTAGCTGGTTCTTATTTCATGGGATCACTAAATTCCTCATTGCACACAGGATTTACATTTTCACTGACCTTCTGTAAGTCAAAAATCAATCATTTTTTCTGTGACATCCCCCCCATCATCTCTCTTTCATGCTACAACAATGACATTAACTTCATGCTAATTTTAATCTTTGTGGGGTTTAACCTGATGTTCACTGTGCTGGTTGTTATCTTATCCTACGTATATATCATGGCCGCCATCTTAAAGATGTCTTCTACTGCAGGAAGGAAGAAAACCTTCTCCACTTGTGCCTCCCACCTGACAGCAGTCACCATTTTCTATGGAACCCTTGCTTACATGTACTTACAGCCCCATTCTGATCAGTCTGAGGAAAATATGAAAGTGGCCTCCATATTCTATGGAATTGTGATTCCCATGTTGAACCCTCTGATCTATAGCTTGAGAAATAAGGAAGTAAAGGATGCTATTAAAGCCATGGGGAAAAGGTTCTTTAGACTGGATGTAAATTACTAAAATCATATCATTTTATACAGTAGAGATATGTTAGTCACACAATTGAAATTCCTGTAGAATCTCCTCAGACCCTCCTCATAACTCTCTAAATAAATATGAAACTGAAAACATTAAGCTTTTGTCCCAAGAATAATACTTGAACATATCTCTCACACTTCTCTTAGAGAAGCATTTATGGTCATCCAAATATTTTTCAAATACTTTTTAAGTACATAGAAAAACTTACTTGAATATTGTCATCATCAAAATTACAGATCATTATATTCCTATCATTCAAGCAATTCCCCAAACTGTCTACAATGAAGCCCTTTATCACTTTTGTTCAAATGATTGCAAAAAATATCTCAATGTTGAATAAATCTAAAGGAATGGAGAGATAACTCAGCAGTTAAGAGCACTGATTGCTCTTCCAGATGACCTGGGTTCAGTTCCCAACACCCACATGACAACTAACAGTCATTCACAACTCCAATTTCAGGGAATCTGATACTATCCTCTGGCCTCTACTGGAACCATAAACCAAATAAATCCTTCTTTCAGTGAGTGGCCTTGGTCATGGTGTTTTATCACAGCAATAGAAAAGTAACTAACACATCTACCTCCTTACAAAGCATCTTACTGCTCAGGCTATCCTTTCTAACTAATATTTGCATAGTTGTTACTTTCTCTGGTACTTGAAAGAACTTTTTTCTGTCATTGGTCATCCTGTTAATTTAATCATTTTCATCCCCAGGAAAGAAAACTACTGGGAACATTTTCTATCTCTACCTCCAATGAGGATAATTTTTAAATGATTGACTCTAAAAACCTACTTAGTAAACATTCATTTTACTCAGACCAATAGTTTTGAACTGCAGAAACTTGATGAAAATTCCAGTGGAAGCAAGAATCCCTTTGGGTCGTGGAGAGACTGTTAACAGGAAAACTGTCATACTACACTGCACCTTACATTAATGATCTGAAGGAGTGAAGAAAAGCAACAGTGGTTATTTTCAAGACCCACTGCAAAAGAGTAGTTTCCCACTCAGAGTTAATTGTTTTCCAGGGGCTACCCTGATCATGTCATGACCCATCCTGCTGTAAACCTATATACAAAACTATCATTTTCAATCCCAGTTAAGGCAAAAGACTCATTATTATATCCTTTATAGTTATTAACTTTGGATAGTTTATCAGGTGTTTTACATTTTTTGATGTTTCACAACTTTATAAATGTTTTAATAATTTTCTAAGTGTTCATTAAACTCATTTTTAGCAAATAAACAAAGCATGCACAGAGAGAAGCTTAATATTTCCACTGAGTTAAAAAGTGTACTTCCTAAGCCAGGTGTAGTGGTGCAAGCCTTTAATCCCAGCACTCAGGAGGCAGAGGCAGGTGGATCTTTGTGAGTTCAAGAACAGCCTGATCTACATAGGGAGTTCCCGGTCAGTTTGAGCTAGGGGGAGACCATGTCTCAAAAGGACCTAAAAAAAAAGTGTACTTCTTACACTTTGCATAGAGGAAATGCCTAATGGCAGCCCATGACTTACGAGCTCCAGTAATGGTTTCTGAACATTACTATAGAGGCACAGTCTTCAATTCAGAATTGTAAAGGAAGACTAGCGTGATAACTAAGTAAAGTGCCTACTTGCAAGCATGAAGACCTGAGTTTTAACCCCAGAACCCACCTGAAAAAGTAAAGCTTAATGACATACGTTTGTAATCCACACACTGGGGTGGAGAGACAAGTGGGTCTCTAGGGCCCCCTGGCCAGCCAGCATAGCCTGTTTGGTGAGATTCAAACCAATGAGAGATTATGTTCAAATGCACCTGTACACACACATACAACTGCACACACATAAATGTACACATGTACACACACGCACACAAGAACTGTAAAAAGTAAAATCATAGGCAATGATAGCTAACTTCAAAAAAATACAAATCTAATCCTGAGAGAAGAAATAAGCTATCATGTACCAAACACTTTAGAGCAAGGATGACACAGAGAATGAAGAACTGCAGAGGCTAAAAGTTAAGTTGCTTAATATTCCATACGTGTGTTCAGTGCTACAGCAAAGTATAGCCAGTGTCTAAGCTTTGTTTGTTCAGCTTTCTTCCAAAAATAAGCTGATTTTATAGGGAAAGTAATATGACCAGAAATAGATAGTATCTCAGGCATCACTGCTGTTATGTGTCTTAGATTTCATTCCTGAGGCATGATCTTGGTTAGAGACCATGTATCTTGAGAAACTGTTGTGGTGACTTAAATTCACCTTTAAAATTTTCAGGCATGTACCCTCAGCTACTGGGAGGTGATCTCTACATTGATGCACTATCCTGCCTAATAGGAGTGAGGTGTTTTCTTAGATGATGTGGGCATGGGACAGTGATTTCTGATGTCTAGCAATGGCAGACACCAAAAGAAGTAGAGACTGAAGGTATTAACTGTAGTGTCTTGTGTTTAGAGATTAGCCAGAAAATCATCAAGCCCCAATAAAAAATCCAGATACTCAGGTGAACTCACTAGATTGGCAGCATTCTATGCATAGTTCCCTAGTTGGTGTCAACAGAGTAATACATTTCAGGGGACAGAGACGCTTATATTTGGAAAACTCCCAGGCATTGCTCCATGCACCTCTTCCTTTTCCTGGTTGTATCCTTTTGCTATAATAAAAATGTTCTTGTATAAATGTTTCCTGTTGTTTTAGCTTGAGCTCTATGACAAATTATTATTGACTGGGAAACTTATAAACAATAGTAATTTCTTTCTTATACTTCCAAAGACTGGAATCCAAAATCAAAGTGATGATGTGATCCTGGTAAGGATGCTCTTCCTGGCTCCAATTATTCAATATTTCATTTTGTTGTCACTCATTTAGTGTAGAGAGCAAGCAATTTGGGTAACCTCCTCAGAGGATGGTTTGATAAGAATAGGAGGTAGGAATTGGCTAGGCAGTTAGGGTAAAAAGACCCCAAGGAAAAGAAGCCATTAAAACTCACAATGTCCTTGGGCCTCTTAGCAACATACTCTGTTCCAAAGGCCAAAAATGTCCAAAGTATTTGGGAGCTTGTATCTAATCCTTAAAAGATTTTAGGGTTACCTCTTCAGAGGGGGGGATGTTAGAGTAGCCAAAAGCCCCACCAAAATGATTAAATCAATAAAATAAAAAGAAAGAGTTAAAAAAAAAATAAAAAGGTAATTGGTCCAAAGTAAGTACAGAATCTAAGGTGAGTTCAGGCATCCTAAGACTGAATAACCTCCCATCCACTGCCCTCCAGTTACTTTAGAAGAAAATTCCACCCTAAAAACCTACAGTGTGAGACTTCCTCAGGAGCACCATTACA